AGCGGTGCGGTTTGGGTTTACACGGGGCTCAACATGCGGCCCACAGGTGGGATCCTTTGATCATGGCCTCCACTGGGAACATGGTTCAAAACAGCAAGTCAGTATAATGGTGTTCTGTTGATATGTGTTTTAGTAGTTAAATTCCTGGACTGTCACTGCTCATTAAAAGTGCTGTCATATGGGTGGAAATGAGGCAATATTGCATTTTATTAATATCAGAAGAACTGACTCAAATGGGGTCTACATGTTGTGTAATCTTGCCTTAATCTTTGTATTCATGCCCATCAGTGTGAAAGATGCTATTTGCATATATTTGAATATATATGCAACCACACTTAAATTGCAGCCCTCGGCATGTGCTATGAGTATCATTAGTGGCTCCCGGGGCTTCAAAAGTTGAGTAGCCCTGTTCTATACCAATATTCCAATCGTGTATTTTCCCACCAAGTCTCTGTATACCAACGTCATAGTTGTGTTTATTTATTAGCACTTCAAGCTCCTCCTGCTTATTCCCCATACTTCTTACGTTTGTATATAGGCATCTAAGATACTGATTTGATTTTAACCCCCCCATTCTGCCTTGTCCCTCCTTTATCTCTGCTATGGGAATTCAAGTTTCAGATTATGAATATTTTCTAAACTAACAATGGGAATACAAGGGACAAATGAAAAAATAAAACATACTAGTTTAGCAAGGGAGGAAAAAATAACAGCAAGTCACAGATTAAAGACACATGTTAAACATAGCAGGTCATGTACTCCTCAGTCAATAATGATAGAAAAACATCACACGTTGGGCTGTCACTCTCAATGTGCATCATTTGGCCAGGAAAAGTGTCACTACATTGAGAGATATGGGCATTCTGGTGGGGCTCTGGCATGATGTACAATAGGCTACACAAAAATGGTGGATACTTACAGACCAGGTGCCCAGCAGACTAACCAACAAGTTGCCACTGAAGCGAGCTGACAGCATCTGGGAGATGACGTACAGATTAGATACCAATGCAGATTGAAGAATGATGGGAATATTCGAAGTATAGAACAGCTTGATAGGATAAGTGTTGTATTGGCCACGGTAGCGGGCAGATTTGATGGGGAGGTCCACTCTGAAGCCCTGAAAAATGCCAAGTGAAAACACCTCACTGTAACTCTTAATATACATTGATAGCAATGACACCACACAACAGCAGGCCCTGCAAGGCCTCGACAAAAATCTTGCCTTGAACCACATGGGTGTCAAACATTCTACTAAATCAACCCTCTTTTTAAACTCTTCTGCCAAGACCTTGGACCAATTCAGACTGCTGGACAGGGTAGATTAAATATGTGACTTTACAAAATGCCAAGATACTCAAAGGAGAGTGTAAAATTGCCGAAAACTCAGCATTGAACCAAGAATGGAAATTTCAAAGCTACATACACAAAAGATTTATTTGCTACCTATTAGCCATTTTGCTGCTTTACATGGACTCAGGTTTTTATGGGCTCAGGGTATCTTTAGCAAAACACTGACATTTTTGGCAAGGTCTCTTAATACACATCCATCATCTCTCTCAGCCTACAATAGTTCTCAAGCCTTTTGGAGGTCACAGAAAGCCAAAGGAGGATGTTGCAGCCTTTTCAGGTGACTGAGGCCCTGGCTGTTGTATGCACACCCACAAGTGAATAGGAGTCTTCTATATGCACTAAAAGGTGAAGTTTAACTCTTCAAACTACAGAAAAAAATCCATTTTTAAACAGACATGTCAATTCTCATTTAAAGCCACAGAAGAGCTAAATATTTTAAACTCCATAAATTCATATTTATCTTCACAACTGTTAACTTTTCTATGGAAGAGTTGTTAGGATCTGCACTCAAAACTGATCAGATTGCATTTGTAAGAGGAAATAGAAGACTTTATTATTTCAACCAGCAGCAGTTTTAAACATTATTCTAGATTATGACTGACCTGGAAATAAATGACAACAGCAAAGACAAAAATGGTGGCAATCAGGTTCATGAGGTTAGGGAGGTTCTGGCGGTAAAAGGCCTCTCGGAGAGCTCTGACTTTGTCCGTACGAGTAGCCAGCAGATGGAACAGAGCAATGATGGCGCCTTCAAACTCCATTCCTTTCATGAGAAAGGGAGAGGAGGAGAATGGTGAATTCAAGTATTTAACCATCTGAACTGGGATATTAACTAGGCTTCTGAAATACAGTACTTAGGGTGGGATTATCAGAAGTGCTTGCTGCTGACCTAACTGTGATCCCACTAAAGTCAGTAAAGAGTATTGCCATTGATTTCTATAGGCTCAGTTAGGCCAATGCTGTGCACTTTTTAAAATCCCACCCTGAAGGCTATTTCTTCTATAAGAAACATGTTAACATAAGGAAAAATATGTCTTCATAGCATAAGGTACATCTGCTAATGCCATACAGACACCCCATACCATCTGGCTATTTTAGACAGTGCCAAAGAACATTCAAGATGAGAAAACATTCAAGATGATAAAACACAAGGAACATGAGAGATGTAAACAGTGCACTTCATACCCACAGAATTCAGAGCAACATGAAGCACTGAATTATCCAAAGAAGTCAACAATCTGCACCAAGAGAACAAATTTGTTAAAAATCTAGGTTTTCCAAAGCACTTATCAGCAATAGACACAGAGCTAAACACAGCAGCATGGGATTAAAATAGAAGCAGAAATGTAATAATTTTTATGAGAGAGTTGTTTCAAAGAAATGTATTGTTCTGTTTTCCTACTTTGAAGTTCTTTGCTTTGAGAACTCACTATCACAAAGCAAACATTTTTGACTTTTCTGCCCTGCTGGGGCGGGGGAGGGGGTGAAATCACACAGGGAAAAAAAAGTGTTCAAAAATTAGGGACCCAAGATCTTTAATAAGCAGTAGCTTGGATTCTGCCATAACTATACATTCTGAGAGACAAAACCACTGCCCTTTGAAGAAAAGTGAAATTTTGAAATGACAGACTCATAAGACTCCCAGCAACCAATTCTGAAGATTAGGAAAAGATAATGCCACTACATAAATTCATGGTACGCCCACACTTTGAATACTGCATACAGTTTTGGTTGCCCCATTTCAAAGAGAGACAAATTAGAATTGGAATAAATATACAAAAGGGCAATAAAAATGATTGGGGTATGGAACAGTTTCTATATGAGGAGCTATTAAAAAGACTGGAACTATTTAGCTCGGAAGAGAGACAACTGAGGAGGGATACGATAGAGATGTACAAAATCATGAATGGCATAGAGAAAGGTAAATTAATGTTATTTACCCCTTCAGGTAACACAAAAACCAGGTGACTTCAAATGAAATGAAAAGGCAGCAAGTTACATAAAGTAGTACTGTTTCACACAACACAAGTTCCTGAGGAATTTGTTGCCAAAGATGTTGTAAAGGCCAAAAGTGTAACTGGGCTCAAAAAAGAAATGGATAAATTCATGGAGGATAGGTCCATTGATGGCTACTAGCCAAGACAGTCAGGGACACAACCCCATGCTCTGGGTATTCGTAAGCCTCTTACTGCCAGGAGCTGAGACTGGACGACAGAGGCTGGATTATCAATAACTGCCCTCTTCTGTTCATTCTCTCTGAAGCACCTGACACCACGCACTGTCAGAAGACAGGTTACTCAGCTAGTCGGACCACTGGTCTGAGCTAGTTTGATCTTAACTGAGCCAGTTGTTAAGACTGCCATTCTTCATTCCAGACTCTGATTAAAGCATACATTTAAGGAGATATGGAAGGTCTGGTTGACATCTTCTGCAGACTTACAATGGGCAATGAAGAGTGAACAGAGAAAGCTGTGGACTGAACATTTGATCATACTATATTACAGCTTATTAGCACAACTGAAATTAGTTTCCTGTCTTTGAGCACCCAATACTTTACAAAATGAGAATGCCCTTCTTTCTTTCCATCTCCTCTCTTTGCAGTTCTTCATATCCCCCATGAAACCTTGTTCTTTATTTATTCTTTCATACCCTGAGATTTCACTTGATAAAAATTGCACGGGCTGAGAGAAGCAGTATTAATTTACTATTTAACTTAATTTCCTTTTTTTGGTGCATAGCAATACAATGTTTGTGTTGCTGAAATTCTCTGTGCTCTGGATATTTATTGAAGAAATTACTACTTATGAGTGGAGCTTTAGAATGTGGAAGAGTGCACATGAAGCTCCTCAGACAATCCTGTCATCTTGTATATTACAGAATACTTAAATCGTAACAGAAGCAAAGAGGATAGAGCATGAGTTACCTCGGCCTGTGTTCACAGTGGTAGGGCTGAATGCTTTCCATACAATAGTCTCACAGATGTTGGTAGCAATGAAGAGAGAGATGCCAGAACCAAGACCATATCCTTTCTGTAAAAGCTCATCCAATAGTAGAACGATCAATCCAGCAACAAAAAGCTGGGGAGGGGGAAAAAGAACTGATGTTATTTACTGGAGGCATCATCCCTTTTTATTTTTTTGTAACAAAACTGACTTGATACAAATGTTTTGTACCATTAAAGATGACAAGAAGATAAGATATACTTGGTTAGCAGACATGTGCTTTCAACTCTCACGAGTCTGTATAACTGCATCCTCTAGACCCCACTGGGATAAAAGGATAGTTTGATTTTGAAGAGCGATATAAGATGGTCCAGTATAAAAGTTACCTGAATAGTGATAAGCAAACAGATACCAGCACCCATCTCAGATGGATCTCCATACATCCCTGTCATTACATAGACAATAGACTGACCGATGGTAATAATCATGCCGAACACTGTAAGATACGTAAAACAAAAATACTATGTTTATATGACAGATAGGGTACATCTAGATTGCAAGCTTCTTTCAAAAGAAGATTTTTCAAAAGAGAATTTTCAAAAAAGCTTCTTTCTAAAGAGAGCGTCCAGACTACTAGGAGCTCTGTCACAAAAAGGCAACCTGGAACCACTTCTGGCAGGACATTAGGGCAGCAGTTACTGCTGCCTGAGACTAGCTGAGAGATGTGCTTAAAGGGACCCTTCTAGACAGCTGTTTCTCTGCTACAGTTGCTTGCTTCCCTAACTTTCCAAGGAACAGCAAAGCTTTTGCAGCATGTGCTCTAGTTGCCCAGCTTTCTTGGATGCTACAGCATATTTTCTTTTTGGCCATGGACATGCCTTGGACATGCAATGGCCCCACACTACCATGCTGCAGCTTCTGCAGCAGCTTCATCAGACCGTCAGGACAGTCCTGACCCAGCTTGACTCAGCCTGGCCTTCAGACCCTCACCCTGAACCTCATGTTGGAGGGGCAAATTTGGAGGCTGGACACCAGTTCAGACCAGTGGGGCCGCCTAGATCTGGAGCAGTGGGACGACCAGCAGCAGCTCAGCAACTTCCACATGTGGAAGGCCACCTTCATGGAGCTGTGTGCCTGGCTCATCTCTGCCCTCCAAGGACAGGACACCCACTTGCAGCCCGCCATTCCCCTGGAGAAGAGGGGGTCGCTATTGCTGTGTGGAAGCTCGCCACCCCCGACAGCTGCCACTTTAAGTCCTGGCTGGAGACAGGAACTATAGAGCTGTCATTAGTGTAAACGGATTGTCCACCAGGGTTTTTCCTGGAGACCTCTTTTTTTTAAACAACTGCCTCTCCCAAGTCCATACGCGCCTTTTTTTGAAAGAGCTCTTTCGAAAAAGGCGTTCTTCCTTGTAAAATGAAGTTTATCAATGTCGACAAAACCGCCGCATTCTTTCAATTTAATTTCAAAAGAACGCGACTGCAGTCTAGATGAAGGTGAAGTTTTTTCGGAAAAAGGGCCAGGGTTTTTTTTGAAAAAAACCTACGTAGTCTAGATATGCTCATACATAGCAAACTAAAATGGTAATGGGGGAAGTACACAATAACTAATAAAACAGACATTTGAATTCAGTGTCGAAATGAAGTCTGATCACTGAAGTCAGTGACTGGAAACTCTTAAGATCTTGAGAAACACTGCACAGCTGTGAGAGCAATGAGCCAGGCTGGAGCAGTCTTCTGCCGGGATCCCGTTTAACTGGTTAACTGATTAAATTGGATTTTAATCCTAAACATTAATCTAATACTTAAGCAATTTAGGTGAGTTTGTCTTTAACAAACAGATTTTGGAACTTAATTGTTCCTTGTGCAAAAACAAGTTGCAGAGAAGATTAACTGAAATCTGTATGTTACAGAGAGAGCATAGCAATTTTTACTATTGAAAAGAGCCAGCTTAAAGGACATGAATCTCAAGATGTGTCACACAAGAGACACACCAGCAGCACAGAATTGCCTCAGCATTTCCCACGTCTATTGTACTTTGATCCTAATCAATTTTGATCATTTTTAGAGATCTGGATGGTTTCTGGGTCTCCATGGTCCTTTTAATACTTGACCTCTCTGCTGAGACTGCAGCAGGGACATCATCATGTGCAGGGCTCGCCAAGCAGCGGCGAGCCCCCCTCGCCAGCCACGCGGTTCCGCATTCTGCACAGATCACTCTGCGCCGGCTCTTCCAGGTTGTAATCTACTCACCTGGCGAGTAGATTACATTATTTGTCAAGCCCTGATCATGTGACAACCATTAAAAACTGAATTGAAACCCATCAGATAATTTCACACAGGTCAAGAAACAGCACACAATAAATCAATGCACTGAAGTACTAAAATTCAGAATCAAGAAACTAACCTCTAGGGAAGCTGACATATCAGATTCCAAGATTTTTTACAGATCTAGTTCATAATTTCTATTGTTTATGTCAGGCCTCACACTACATGAGCCTCCCTGATATCAGTTGCTACTTACATTTCTGTGCCCCATTGAAGAGAGCTCTGTCTTTCGGCGTGTCACCAACCTCAATTATCTTGGCACCAGCCAAGAGTTGCATGATGAGCCCAGAAGTGACAATGGGTGAAATACCAAGCTCCATCAATGTTCCTGTCAGATAAAAAAAAGGAGAATGACAGTTGTTGCATTTCACGATTTCCAGACCCATCTCAAAGTGAAAAGTTTGACTTTTCATTCCGCCCAACTCTTCATGGTACCAATAGAATAAGAAGAGACTCATGGTACCTCCTTCTTTGAGTCAGTTTAAAAAGAAAAAGTTTAAAAGCTATCTGGAATTTGATGAAAACTAATTTGGCTGACAGAATTAATCCTTAGTATCATGTGTTCTGCATTAAGGTTACTATTTTCTGGCATATCTACTAGGGATGTTATATATCGGATAACTTCATGAAATCTTAGTGGTTACAAGACTATTTGATAGTCCCCGTGGGAGGGGCTGGCAGCCAGTGTACTCCCAAGTCCCACTCCCAGGGAGCCCCTTGCTACCCCGTGCTGTATCACAGGCAGCAGCATGGTGTGGCAGCAGCCCCTGTCTGTGGAGTTCTGAGCTCCCCACAGACAGAGGCTGCTCCGCAATAGCAGCCTCTGTCTGCTGTAAGCTTGGACCCTTTGTGGACAGGGGCTGCTGCCGCAGACCAGCCTCTGTCCACAGTGAGCCCAAGCCACTGCAGACAGAGGCTGCTTTGCAGCAGCCACCCCTGATTCCTCCCCTCCCCCACGCCTTGCGCTGCTGTGTCTGATAGAGGTGGCAGCGGGAGGAGGACAGAGGCAGCACCACAGAGTCGGTGCTGGGGTGCCAGCACCAGCTCCTGCCTGCCTCCCTCCCACTGCATTTGCAGGAGCCAGTGAGTCTGCAGAGCTGGCACGCGTGGGGAGCTTGCTTAAAAGCCAGCTCCCCACGTGTTTCGGCTCCAGCCTGCCCCCTTCACCCTCCACATTGCTGCCTATCAAAGGCAGCAGCATGGGGGCGGGGTGCATCCCGTGCTTTTGGGGAGCCTGCTTAAAGCCAGTTCTTCACGGACACTGGCTCCCATTCCCTCTCCCACCCCTTGCTGCATCTGATACAGAGGAACTGGGGTAGGCAGGAGAATGCAAGTAGTCAACAAGATTAACTGATAAGCCTAAGCGTATCAGTTAATCGTGTAGACTACTACACATTGACATCCCTAATATCTATGCCAGATATAAGATGGCATAAAAATGGTAAAGCTTCACACTCTTCCTCTGAAGGATGACACTCAAATATTTTTGATGCATCAGCTCACTATACAACCATTTTTCTTAGTTACATGCAAATCTCTGCACTGCCCATTATGCTATAATCGCTGACATCACCTGATACATACATACACTCCAACTAGTATCAAGAGGTCCACTGAAGTGACTGATACTCCATCTAGTTTATAGCAGCAGAAAAAAAGCTTCAACAAGCTACTGTACAACTAGCCAACCTGAACAGGTTGCATTGTGTGAGTGGCAAAAGTGTCACCACGACAAAAAATACCAAGCTGGGATTATGTATCAGAATACAAGTAATGTACAGCAGAATTTCATAACTTCTATTTTATGAGTATTTATGAGCTGTTCTGTTCCCACTTTCTTTCCAAAGGCTATATGTCCTTCACTTCCATGTATGCAACTGATCCTGTGTTTATCCATATATAATTTTAATGCACGTCAATTCCTATCCCAATTTATCTTTTCTATTTATGCTGTGTTTATTGCTCTAATCCAGATGTCTACTTCAAGAGAAAATAAATCTATCAACTAAGAATACAATCCCAAATGTTCAAACACACAAAATAACAAGGCAAGCGGAAATATAAACCTCTGTACTGGCAACTGAGAAAAGCAGGATCTTACCTCTATTTGAAGCCAGAATTACTCTCATCCAATAGAAAGGATCTGCTGAGTCTGATGACATGATACCAAACAGAGGAATCTGAATTTCCAAGCAATGAAAATGAGGTTAGGTTAAATTAAAACACTGAATTTGTTTCCCTTTTTATTTGAAAGGAAGATGAAAGAATGTTACAAACATACCTGGCAGCATACTAAAAAGATGAAAAGTGTGATAGCTGTCCATAGTACTTTTTCCTTAAATTGAATCTGAAAACATAAATGAGAATGACAGTATGTTGTCACTGTCACAACAGCTGGTCTATTAAGCAAATGAGGTAAATTATATATGACGACTCATACTTATAGTAAAACACAAGACCAAAGTAAATTATCAAATCCCTTTTCATCCCAACTATACTATCAAGTCCTGAAAGAAAAATAGTAAATCTTTACTGAAACCAACTCAAGCAAACAAACTTATGCAAGAAGTATAAGGTAGTTCCAGTACCGATCCAGTGAAATTGATTCTTACTAGTTTAATATTCTACCAAAAAAAGCTAAGATTTTACCCTAAGATTTATTCAAATCTGATGTTTTTAAGGAGGGGGGAGGAAAAGAGAACATTTTGAATTTTAAGATACCATTTTAGCTCCTCAAATTCATTCACTCTCACACTTATCATATAACTCAGGCCTTACCTATGCACAAAAGTTGTTCTGCACTGGTATTACAGCAGTACAACACATATCAAGTATGTAATTATGCCAGTTAAAAATAAATGCACTGCTGGCATTTGCACTGGTACAAAAATTGAATATAGAGCAAACTTTAGGCTTAGAAATCTTATCTTTTACAAATAGATTCCTGAAGGACATCTCAATAACATACCTTCCTTTCTGGCTTTTGAATTTCAGGCAAGATAACACAGAAGGGCTTAATTACTTCAAGAAATTTAACTGCAAAACAAAAATTAAAAGGTCAAGCGCACATACAGATATGGAACTTATGGCAAACTTGATGATTAGGTACAGAAATCTGAAAAAAATATAAGTTTCTATATTTGCAAGGTTAGGGACTAGGTGGTCATCTCATCCTTATCTATTCTAGGTACATCTGACCAATTGCACTAACAAGGTAGCTGCACTTTTAAAAGAGTGTGATAAGAAATGGCAAACTTAATATACATGGCTGAGTTGAGTGTTTTATAACTCTTTCTTGAGAAGAGGGAAAGAACGTTCGTTTCACTAACTTACTTTGTTTTCTAGAAATATACTCGTCTGCATCCTTCCACTTGCTATACTATGGTGGTTATTTGAAGCATAATGTGAGCTGAATTTATATGGAAGGCTGAAACTAGGGATGTAAAGGGTTAATGGATTACTCTGTAAACACCACCCTTATCAGGGAATGATTACCAGGTAACAAGTGGCTGGAGCAGCCCATGTCACCTCTGGACCAAGGAAACCCCAACCTGTGATGTGCTGCAGGTAGAAGGATGCTCTAGCACAACCAGGCCTGCCACACCATCCCAGTTAACAATTCTTTAACGGGAGTTCACATCCCTAGCTGAAACTACTTTGGGGATAAATGGTTGAACCCCGTACAGTCACTGGCTAAACAAGTACTCAAACAATCCTTCAAGATTTGTATGTGAAACTCCTCACCAGCATAAGGGTGGTTAGCCTTAAAAAGGATGTGAAGTCTCAAAAGTTACCTTCCCTTTCCTTAAATCCTAAGGCTAAGGTAACTAATATAGGCCTGGACTATGAACTTTTCTTTTAGATTTAACAGTTATAAAATAAACAGCTTTTTCAAGACAGGAACATAAGGTCGCAGGAAATTCAAAAGGAGGACAACAGTTGAATCTCAGATTGCAGAAGTTATTTGATAGGATATACTTCCTTTACACCCATTTCATGAAAGATAGCAGGAAAGCACTGAAACAATCACTTTTGGTAGCTCTCTGGATATATGAAATTCATACTAAAAGGTATCCTGTTTAAGACTAGACTAGAAACAACTGACTAACTATTAATTTGCATGAGAAATTTCTTGGATTGTAGTTTTTCACTTTCTGCAAATACCGCCTCTTTCACTTTTAGAGCAACCAATGTGGTGTGTGCTTTCCAGAACCTAACACAGCAGTTCCCAAACTTTTCCAGGTGGTGACCCATTTTGACAGTTCAAGAAGACTTGGTGACCCAAGGCAATTCAAAAAAACGGAGGTGGGGAAGAGGAGGGAGGGAGGGCAGAGCCACCTGGGGAGACACTTGGCGACCCTTTTGAAATGTAATGGTGACCCATATTTGGATCCCGACCCATAGGTTGGGAAACCTTGACCTAACTGGTTTTTCCTCCTCAAACAAACAATCTTGAGAATTCTATTAACTAGGGACATGACTATCTTTCATGGTTGTGGGTTTCTGTTATTCAGGAATAACGACAGATTTTTAGCTTAGGGTTACAGACCATCACCCATTCTGCAAGCAATTCCATTTGACTACGGCACTGCAACAGATTCACTGACATGCCTACTAAAGTTTACAACAGGGCCTCAGGTTCCCCACCCCTGCTTTAGAAGAGTGTTTCTCAACCAGTGGTATGAATACCCTTAGGAGTACTCAAGAGAAGTCTGGGGGGGATACATCAACACAACTGAAATTTGGAGAAAACTGAATTTTTGTTTTAAGTTTTACAGCGCTTTTATTATTTCTGTACTTTTTACACCCACAATTTCATCACCCACCCAGCTACAATTAAGTTGTTTAAACAAATGTGTTGCAATGGTAGAAAACAATGGTGTGTGTCTGAAAACTGTAGGTACTGTGGGTACTTATAATTTTTTTTAAAGGGGTACTTTATAAAAAAAGGTTGAGAAACACTGCTTTAGACGATCCACAGGCACATGAAGTCAAGACATCAAGCCTGACCTCCAGACATCAGACATAGCTTTCCCTAATACATTTTATTATACATTTGGTACTCGGCATACTGCTGAAAATTTCTTTCCTATTGTCACCAAAATTAGAACCTGTGGCTAATAAGATAATGCTAAGCAAGGGGTAGAATGATGACCAATATGAGAAAGCTAACTCTGACCTAACACAAGCAAATTTATGCAGCAGCAGAGATGTGAGGTACATTTTATTAGGAGGAAATAATCTTGTTTTATCAGTTTGATAAAAGAATAAGACTATAAAGTGGCAAAACAGCATTATGAGCTCCTAGAGGTAAAGACCAGTTAGTGGGTAAGAAAAGGATCCTGGATGGAGCCTGGGATGGCAGAACATTTCAGGAAGCAATAGCATCTCCCTGGCCCTGCATAAACAATACACTACACCAAGGCAGGGCATAGGTGGAGGGGCGTGAAGGGGGTGGTGGTGTGGAGTGAGCAGCAGGACACTGCCAAACCAGGGCACAACTGGCGAGGTTCCAGGGAGGTAGGGAGCAGGGCACTGCCAACTAAGGGTACAGCGGGGGGGGGGAGGGAGGGAAGAGAAGAGTCTGGTGGAAGGCAGCA